CTGCATTTCACTCTCTCTGGTCTCCCTGGACCCTGCACTCACTATATCGGTCTCCCCGGACCCTGCATTCACTCTCTCCGGTCTCCCCGGACCCTGCATTTCACTCTCTCCGGTCTCCCCGGACCTGCATTTCACTCTCTCCGGTCTCCCCGGACCCTGCATTTCACTCTCTCCGGTCTCCCCGGACCCTGCATTTCACTCTCTCCGGTCTCCCCGGACCCTGCATTTTCACTCTCTCCGGTCTCCCCGGACCCTGCATTTCACTCTCTCCGGTCTCCCCGGACCCTGCATTTCACTCTCTCCGTCTCCCCGGACCCTGCATTTCACTCTCTCCGGTCTCCGGTCTCCCCGGACCCGGGACCCTGCATTTCACTCTCTCCGGTCTCCCCGGACCCTGCATTTCACTCTCTCCGGTCTCCCCGGACCCTGCATTTCACTCTCTCCGGTCTCCCCGGACCCTGCATTTCACTCTCTCCGGTCTCCCCGGACCCTGCATTTCACTCTCTCTCCGGTCTCCCCGGACCCTGCATTTCACTCTCTCCGGTCTCCCCGGACCCTGCATTTCACTCTCTCCGGTCTCCCCGGACCCTGCATTTTTCTCTCTCCGGTCTCCCCGGACCCTGCATTTCACTCTCTCTGGTCTCCCCGGACCCTGCATTTCACTCTCTCTGGTCTCCCTTTTCTCATCAGCAGTTAGAGCAGTCTTGTAGGAGGAGTTTTCTCTAGGAGAGGATGGAAATCTCCTGACCTCTGTCTGGACAGTGCTGATTGGCCCTGTGCTGATCACGTGCACTCTCCCAAGAAAAGAGAAAACCTCCCTAGCAATACACACTAAATATAATATAAACTGCTAAATACCTTTTCTCATCAGCAGTATATAGCAGTCTTGTGACTTCTATCAGTGTCCAGCTGAGCACTGGTTAAAGCTTGTAGGAGGAGTTTTCATTCACTTCTCACTGCCATATGAGACTGCAGAACCCCTGACCTTTCTGTCTGGACAGCGCTGATTGGCCCTGTGCTGATCAATGCACACTCCCAAGAAAAAGAAAAAACACTGTAGCAGTAAACACCAATCTGAGCATGTGCAGAGTCTCCCCAAGGCTGTGTTCTATCAGGAGATGAATGGGGAACGTGGAAAAAGGGGGGATCAGAGAAGACATAATCAAACATCCTTTTTACACAATGCAGAGGATTAACCCCTTAGGTTCCACAGTGAATATAACAAGCCCAGCTGAGCACATGTTAAAGCTTGTAGGAGGAGTTTTTCTTTCTGCTCTAGGAGAATGCAGGACCCCTGACCTCTGTCTGGACAGTGCAGATTGGCCCTGTGCTGATCACATGCACTCTCCCAAGAAAAAAAAAAAAAAGCTAGCAATACATACCAAACTGAGTATGTGCAGAGTGACTCCACATTATATGTCCTATAAGGAGATAAGAGGGTGACACTGGAAGAAGGGGAGGATCAGATCAGTCAGGATCAGACATCCTTTTTACGCAATGCAGATTAACCCCTTAGGTTCCACAGTGAGTATAACAAGCATGCTTTACTGCATCTACAGACTGATTGTACTGTTGTGGGTTTAGTAACACTTTAAGGAGATCCCCCCCCCCCCCTTTCTATTTGTCCTGTTTACCATTATCATTGATAGTGAAAGTTAAAGAAAATCCCAAATTTTGGGTTGTCCCAGAAAAGTAATAGAGGGGAAATCTTCCACTGGGCACACTAGATCTGGTGACCTGGGGGGCCCCTGAGGAATTCCCTTCATTTGTAAGGATCTCTTCACTTCCTGTTTGGCTATGGGACAGGAAGTGAAGGGAAATCTCTGTAATGGGACACAGATGGTGGAAAAACAAAATCTGATGGTATTTCCAATGCTTTGTTGTTCTATCAAAGACGGAAAAAAAGTTTTCCTGTAGTTCTACTTTTAAAGTGGACTTGTGAATGTCTTGTATGTGGCGTATGTCTGGCCCTGCATGTAGGAGGTCCTTGTTTGTCTGTGGTTGGTGTTTCTGTGACAACCTGTTCGGTATTGTAGCACATTGTGTTGTACTGGTCCTTTAGCACGGTGCAGATCTATTCTAGAACATTCTATTCACCTTCTCTGTCCCTGACCCTTTGTGATTATGTAACATTATGCGGTAGTTATTGCTCTGTATATTTGTTCCATCCACCCCCTTGTTCCTGTTAGCACAGCACATTGGTGCGCCGACTGTCAGATGTCGGACGTTGCCATGACAACCGTTCCTTTCCTCCTTCCGCTGAATCTTCCTCTGTTGTAGTGGACGGTGAAGGACATTCCTTAGCGGACCAAAGAAACTGTCCTTGTAAAAGAAGCAGAGGATTTATTGTGATGGTGCCTTAACAAGAGGATTTTGTTTTCTTTTCATCCATTTACATTCACTTCTTTAATAGAACGCCCACAGTGGCTGAATGGTTAGCACTTCCGCCTGGCAGTACTCGGGTCGTTGGTTCGAATCCCAACCACGGCACCTCCTGCCTGGAGTTTGCATGTTCTCCCTGTGCCTGCGTGGGTTTCCTCCGGGTACTCCGGTTTCCTCCAAAGACATGCTGGTAGGTTAATTGGATCCTGCCTAAATTGTCCCTAGTATGTGTATGTATGAATGTGAGTTAGGGACCTTAGATTGTACACCCCTTGAGGGTTAGGGACTGGGCAACACAACGCCTAAATGGTTAACACTTCCACTTGGCAGTTCTAGGGTTGTTGGTTTGCATCCCAACCACAGCACCACCTGCCTGGAGTTTGCATGTTCTCCCTGTGCCTGTGTGGGTTTCCTCTGGGTACTCCGATATCCTCCCACACTCCAAAGACATGCTGGTAGGTTAATTGGATCCTGTGTAAAATTGTCCCTTGTATATGAATGTGAGTTGGGGAGATTGTACGCCCCTTGAGGGTTAGGGACTGATGTGAATGTACAATATATATGTAAAGTGCTGCGTAAATTGACGGCGCTATATATCCTTTTTTTTTTTTTTTTTTTTTTTTTTTTTTTTTTACTGGTAATGGTGGCGATCACTGACTTATAGCTGGACTGCTTCCGGTATTCTGACCCTGGGGGGGGAACTGACTTGGTGTCACTGACATCCCCAGTGACACCAATACAGTGATCACTGCTCAAAAAAAAAAAAAAAAAGCACTTACTGTACTAATGGCACTGGGCAGGAAGGGGTTAACATCTGGGGCAATAAAGGGTTAACTGTGTGCTTCACTGTAAGCACACTGGTATGCATGGTTCTGCTTTGCAAAGCCATGCATAGCAGTGTGCAGAAGCTGACAGGGAGGGAACTGTATTGTTTACTTACAGTTCTCTCCCTCCGTCGGTAATCCTCCTCGATTGCTGGGTGCCGGTTTATCACTTGGCAAGGACCCAATGATTGACAGCTGTGAATAGCATGATTTTACACATCCATGCCGCCCTGTAGCAGTATTACTGCTATAGGGCAAACGGGAAGCTTTAAAGGTGAGAGGCACCACTGGCCAGAACCGACACTTCCAATGTAGTGTTTTACCATGCAAGAGGTGTGTGTGAATCGGCCCCTAAAGTAGGCCAAGCATCAGATCTATTTTTCCATGTTTGAAGCATGCATACTTTGTAATATGTAATGCTTTGAGGTAATGATTACCACTCAGAGATCAGTACTACCCCTGACATTGCCTTCATCTGCTGATCTCTGCAGAATGACAAAGCCATCTTTTGTTCAGGACTCATTAATCCAGGTCAGGATCTGCTACGTGGACTGGCATGAGCACTGACATGAGTCATATAAGTCCTGACTCATCTTGTGACTTGCTACAATATGACTCTGTACAGTCTGATTACTAGAAGGGAGGGGACTGGGCAAGGGCGGACTGACAACTCATGGGGCCCCCAGGCAATAGAGGATCATGGGGCCCCCAGGCAATAGAGGATCATGGGGCCCCTGTGTCCTTGTCCAAACTCAAAAAGTCTATGAAAAAGGTACCAGGGGCATCTCATAGGGCCCCCTACTGACCCCGGGCCCTCGGGCAGTGCCCGAGTTTCCAAATTGTCAGTCCGCCCCTGGGACTGAGGAAATGCTTCCTCCTGTCTGCAGCAGACTGGTGTCCCCTCACCTTCGCTTAGGCAGAGCACTGGACTGGAGCTCAGTCACAGTTTAAAAATGATGAAAGGTACAGCTTTTCTGAAAATTGATACTGTTTCCCTGTCAGGTATTGTACCAGCCCATGTTAATAATGGCAAGTGGTGCTCCTGATTTTGGGCATTGCTTGCTATTACTGCTCTGTATATGGGGAGATATCTGTACATTGATGATCACCCTTTGTTTTTCACTTGTACTATAGGCCTTTTTATTATGTTATGATCTCTTAGATTGTAAGCTCCAAGGATCAGGCCCTCCTATCCCTCTTGTATTGAACTGTATCGTTGCTGTATTGTCTCCCTTTATATTGTAAAGTGCTGAGCAAACTGTTGGCGCCATATAAATCCTGTATAATATAATAATAATCTGGCAATAAAGTAGAACTGTAGGCAAATCTTTTAATTTTTTTTCCATTTTGGATAGAGCAAGGGAGGGTTGTAACCCCCGACCTTTTTTTTTTTTTTTTTTTTTTTACGCAGCCTATGTTCCACTTCAGAAATTTCCCTTCACTTGCTGTCCCATAGCCAAACAGGAAGTGAGAGAAAATTGCTGCAAATGCAGAGAATTCCTTGGGAAATCCCAAGTCATCAGAACTAGTGTCCCCATTGGAAGATTTGCCCTCTGTCACTTTTCTGGAGACCAGGACAGATCGAGAGGGTGAATCTCCTTGACGGGGGCATAGACAGCAATAAAGACACAGATGTCCTAATCGCTGTCCACGCTATCCACAGCAATATCATGGGATTCCCTTGTGGTCTGCAATGACTGGATTGACTTTGCATGTGAAGCTATATAACATTTTGCATCTGTTTCCATTCTCTTATCTGCTGCTTTTTCTATTATCAGATAAAAGGACACTACAATGGGGAACATGTTTGCAAGTCTGTTTAAAGGCCTCTTTGGCAAGAAAGAGATGAGAATACTCATGGTGGGTCTGGATGCTGCTGGAAAGACCACCATCCTGTATAAGTTGAAGTTGGGTGAGATAGTGACCACCATACCCACCATAGGTAAGCTATGTCCATTTTATAATTTAATTCATTGACCTGTATCTAAAACCATTGTTTGTTCTGATATGACTTTTGGTGCTTTTCAGGTTTTAATGTTGAGACTGTAGAATACAAGAACATCAGCTTTACTGTCTGGGATGTTGGTGGTCAGGACAAAATCCGGCCTCTGTGGCGTCACTATTTCCAGAACACTCAGGGTGAGTATCTTCTGAGGTAGCGCTGGGTTACGTCCTGCCAAGTTGTATCTGCATTGATTTCCCTGTGCTTGTGCAGATAATCCTTCGGGTGCCCTAGTTTCCTTCCACAATCAATTAAAAAAAAAAAAAAAAAAAAAAACTAGTAGGTTAATTAATTTGTCTTCAGTGTATGTGCACTGTCTGAATATTATTATACAGGATTTATATAGCGCCAACAGTTTGCTCAGCACTTTACAATATAACGGGAGACAATACAGTAACAATACAGTTCAATACAAGAGGGTTAGGAGGGCCTGATCCTGGGAGCTTACAATCTAAGAGGGAGGGGCTAGTGGTACAACAGGTAGTAACTGGGGGATGGACTGGTAGGAGGAATAGAAGATTCCATTATTAGCTGAGGGCAGGATAGGCTTCCCTGAAAAGAGAGGTTTTCAGAGATCGCCTAAAAGTGAGCAGAGTAGGCGATAGTCTGATAAATTGGGGTAGAGAGTTCCAGAAATGGGGGAAGCTCTGGAGAAGTCCTGGAGACGAGCATTGGAGGAGAAGACAAGGGAGCTAGAGAGTAGGAGGTCGTGCGAGGAGCAGCGAGTACGGTTTGGGTGATATTTGGAGACAACATTGGTGATGTAATTTGCGGCAGAGTTATATCTGTGACACTCAATTTAACTTGAGGAATAATATGAGACCATTCATTTGTTAGTGTTACTAAACCCACAACAGTACAATCAGTCTGTATATGCAGTAAAGCATGCTTGTTATACTCACTGTGGCACCTAAGGGGTTAATCCTCCCCATTATGTAAAAAGGCTGTTCGATCCTGTCTTCTCTGATCCTCTCCTTCTTCCACTGTCCCCAATCCATTTTGCGAACTACAGAGCCCTACTAGATACTCTGCACATGCTCAGTTTGGTGTGTATTGCTAGAGCGTTTGTTTTTTTTTTTCTTTGGGAGGGATGCATGTGATCAGCACAGGGCAAATCAGCACTGTCCAGACAGAGAATCAGAGGTCAGGCAGCCCCATAGGACAGAGGAGAATGAAAAGTCCTCTTACAAGAATAACCACTGCTCAGATAAACACTGATAGAAGTCACAAGACTGCTATATACTGCTGAAGAGAGAATGTATTTATTTATCAATTTATATTTACTAAAATAATTGCATTTCCATGTTCTGTGTGCTATGGGAGATTAGATATAGTGAATGCAGGGTCCGGGGAGACCGGATATAGTGAATGCAGGATCCGGGGAGACCAGATATAGTGAATGCAGGGTCCGGGGAGACCAGATATAGTGAATGCAGGGTCCGGGGAGACCAGATATAGTGAATGCAGGGTCCAGGGAGACCGGATATAGTGAGTGCAGGGTCCGGGGAGACCAGATATAGTGAGTGCAGGGTCCAGGGAGACCAGATATAGTGAGTGCAGGGTCCGGGGAGACGCAGATATAGTGAATGCGGGGTCCGGGGGAGACCAGCATATAGTGAATGCGGGGTCCGGGGAGACCGGCATATAGTGAATGCGGGGTCCGGGGAGACCGCATATAGTGAATGCGGGGTCCGGGGAGACCGCATATAGTGAATGCGGGGTCCGGGGAGACCGCATATAGTGAATGCGGGGTCCGGGGAGACCGCATATAGTGAATGCGGGGTCCGGGAGACCGCATATAGTGAATGCGGGGTCCGGGGAGACCGCATATAGTGAATGCGGGGTCCGGGGAGACCGCATATAGTGAATGCGGGGTCCGGGGAGACCGCATAGTGAATGCGGGGTCCGGGGAGACCGCATATGGTGAATGCGGGGTCCGGGGAGACCGCATATAGTGAATGCGGGGTCCGGGGAGACCGCATATGGTGAATGCGGGGTCCGGGGAGACCGCATATGGTGAATGCGGGGTCCGGGGAGACCGCATATGGTGAAATGCGGGGTCCGGGGAGAGACCGCATATGGCGAATGGGGTCCGGGGATTGCATATGGTGAATGCGGGGTCCGGGGAGACCGCATATGGTGAATGCGGGGTCCGGGGAGACCGCATATGGTGAATGCGGGGGTCCCGGGGAGACCGCATATGGTGAATGCGGGGTCCGGGGAGACCGCATATGGTGAATGCGGGGTCCGGGGAGACCGCATATAAATGCGGGGTCCGGGGAGACCGCATATGGTGAATGCGGGGTCCGGGGAGACCGCATATGGTGAAGACCGCATATGGTGAATGCGGGGTGAATGCGGGGTCCGGGGAGACCGCATATGGTGAATGCGGGGTCCGGGGAGACCGCATATAGTGAATGCGGGGTGCGCATATGGTGAATGCGGGGTCCGGGGAGACCGCATATGGTGAATGCGGGGTCCGGGGAGACCGATGGTGAATGCGGGGTCCGGGAGACCGCATATGGTGAATGCCGGGGAGACCGCATATGGTGAATGCGGGGTCCGGGGAGACCGCATATGGTGAATGCGGGGTCCGGGGAGACCGCATATGGTGAATGCGGGGTCCGGGGAGACCGCATATGGTGAATGCGGGGTCCGGGGAGACCGCGAATATATGGTGAATGCGGGGTCGGATATCGTGAGGGCAGGGCCCGGGGAGACCGGATATGGTGAGGGCAGGGCCCGGGGAGACCGCATTAGTGAATGCAGGGTCCGGGGAGACCGGATATAGTGAATGCAGGGTCCTGGGTTTAGTAACACTAATTATATAGCTCTTACAGTGGAGATTGTACATTTGCTGTTCTGTCTGTGGCCAGTTATTTCCATTGTACAATGTTCTGTATGGAACACTTCTGTTCCTTGCCCCTACACCTTGGTGACAGTCACTGTAATCAGAAGCACCAAATGCCTAACAAACCCCTAGGCACAGTCACATGTGTCAAAGTGATCTGCTTCTTCTAATTGGGAAATGTATGTAAAAGTTTCATGGAGCAGATCAGATTTCTCACTGCTGCAGCCTGCCTAGTGCCAGACGTTGTTTGTTCTCTGGCACACTGGCAACTTGTGAAATAATGTTTTGTAATGGGACAGGTGTGACATTTCATAGGATGCCAGAACCCCTCATAGATCTAAACATTTTCTATCCCTGGTAAGGTCACAGCAGTAAGAAGTTCTTCATGTCCATACATCTGTAGATTTGATTGCAGAATCCTGGATATTGGAAAGATCCCTTAGTGGGTGTGCGATTTGCTGCTGGTGTCGGTGTACTCCTAACAACACCACAAACACAGATTGCCAACGCAGCGCATTTGTCAGCACCAGATCACACGGTACTGCAGTAGCAGTGTGTTTTTAAAAGCAGTGAATGCAAATGAATGGGCTGGAAATCGCACTGCACTGAATCGCACAGGAATCCCAGTTCACACGTGGGGCGCCTTCTTGTGCGATTCTGGGGTGAACCAGTACATGGAGCGCCTTCTTGTGCAGTGTGATTTTTAGCCAGTTGTTTGAATGGACTGAAATTGCACTGGATCACACCAAAAGTAGTGCATGCAATTGAATGGACTGGAAATCGCACTGCACTGAATCGCACAGGAATCCCAGTTCACACGTGGAGCACATTCTTGTGCGATTTTGGTGTGAACCAGTACTTGGAGCACCTTCTTGTGCAGTGTGATTTTTAGCCAGTTGTTTGAATGGACTGAAATTGCACTGGATCACACCAAAAGTAGTGCATGCAATTGAATGGACTGGAAATCGCACTGCACTGAATCGCACAGGAATCCCAGTTCACACGTGGAGCACATTCTTGTGCGATTTTGGTGTGAACCAGTACTTGGAGCACCTTCTTGTGCAGTGTGATTTTTAGCCAGTTGTTTGAATGGACTGAAATTGCACTGGATCACACCAAAAGTAGTGCATGCAGTCTTTTTAAAACTGCAGTGCAACTGGATCACATGGTACTGCAGTACCATGCGATCTGGTGCAGACAAATGCACTGCATTTGGGGTGTTAGGAGTTCATTGACACCTGTAGCAGATTGCAGACCCAGTGAGTTTTAAATGTTGAACGTCTGCAGAGAACGGGTCCGATTAAATGCCCACAGTGACCTAAAAGCAGACCCTGCATTCAAACAGAGCAATAACGTCAAGATTGATGGGTCCTTCTGGTAGTCCTAGAATTACAACTTATGACATTCATGGCCTACTTTAGAGAACCTAGATGTTACCTGATTACAGCTGTATAACTAATTTAAAATGTATGCTGTTTACGCCAAGACTTGTGTTACAAGAGCCATCCTATTGCTGGCAGCAGCTTACTAATGACAGGGTCGTCTGTTTCTATAGCATTGCTCCCTCACTGGTTGGGGAGATTCTGCAGCTATGGTATAGAAACAGTGAATGTTATTTTTGCTCTTTTTAGCAATTCTGTCGCTGGTGTGTTGGCGTCAGCAACAGGATTATTAGTGGGACTTGGGCCTAATGGACACACAATTCCTGGTTGTATTTGTTTCTATAAAATTGAGCTTGGTTAGTAAGAAGTGATTTTTAACTTGGAATTCTTCTATGCAGGTCTCATCTTTGTGGTCGACAGCAATGACCGAGAGAGAGTTAATGAAGCCAGGGAGGAGTTATCAAGGATGTTGTCAGAAGACGAGTTGCGGGAGGCTGTACTTCTAGTGTTTGCAAATAAGCAGGTAATTTGAATCCTTATTCGTATAGTAGACCATAGAAGCGTAGTGGCGGCACTCTGAAGTCAGATAAGCAAGATAGATCACCCTTCTGGCATTGGAATGAAGGGAGCAGCGTTCTTAATCCGTTTCAGTGCCTAGGAAGAGATCAGGGGGAGCGGACGCCACGAGTCCAGCGTGTATGTGTAGACTGGCCGCAGCACCACGCTTGCCATGGCCTCTAGCGCATTTCGCCTTACCCTCCGGGGCTTGGTCACAGAAGCCAAGTCTTGATGGGTGAGGTGAAATGCATCAGAGGGCATGGCTAGCGCGGTGCTGAGCCCACTCTACACATACACGCTGGACTCCTGGGGCTGGTCCTGAGCGGTGTCCGCTCCCCCTTGTCTTATTCTGTCTGCATAGATGTCTCATACTATTGAGGTTGCTGAACTGATTGGCTTTACATTATTAGCCTATATACAGGTTATCAATAATCCATGTGGGAACACATTGCATGCTAGCAGCATATCAGGTTCTAGGTGTATATTGCGCTGAAGTTTTTTCATGATATTGGCTATATACAGGTTACTTGCAGAAGATTTGTTTCTGTTTTGACCTTTGGAATTGCTTAAAGCGGAGTTCCACTCACCCTGTCAAAAAATATAAAAGTTAGCAGCTACAAAAACTGTAGCTGCTGACTTTTAAAAAACAGCCACTTACCTGTCCCTCGGTCCCGTGGTGTGTCCCCTGCAGCCCGTTTCACCGGCCGTCTGTATTTCAGGAGGCCGGCATTTTCAGATTGGGCACCTGGCTGTGATAGCTTGTGACTTCACAGCCAGGTACCCACTGCGCATGCGCGAGTAGCGTTGTGCTTCATGAATGGTCCTGTAGTCTTCCGGGACCTGTCACGTGTCCCAAAAGACTACAGGGAGGGAGGACACCTTCCGTTTCTCGATAACCTAGGCGATCGGACCAGAAGTGGGAGCAGGTACCTGTCAAATTCAAGTACCCGCTAACCCCCCCCAAAGGTGCCAATCCTTAATGGGGAGTGGGGGCGCAATCCTTAAAGCGGAACTTTCCCTTTTTGGGTGGAGCTCCGCTTTAATTCGTCACTTTATCTCTACAGACCACTTGGAGTCAGTACTTATTGGTAACAATATATGTCGAAGTGTTCAGAACTGTCAGTTTTTACTGACTGCTGTGGTCTCCAGTGATGTCTGTCTGTGGTGAAGTAGTTATCAGAGTAGCCCTTTCCTTTGTTGGAAAGAATGATGGTGTGTAGGCAACTCAGCTGCACTGCATTAGATAATCCTACTTATAGTCTGCACTGCATGAACTTGACTAAGGGCCAGTTCACACTACATGCGTTTTTTCAGTGTGCTTTTTTTTTTCTGCATCCAAAACGCACAGAAAGTAGGTTATATGGTTGTCGTTGTCATGGTTCATTCACAACAGTGCTGGCGGTTCCAGTGCGTTGCGGATGCAGAAAAAAAAAAGTAGAACAGGCTGCACAGAACTGTACTGGAACACACAAAAATGCACTGGGATGCACATGTTACTATTTAAATTGAAGAAAAAGAGGTGGAAAATTAATTGGAATGCATCAAGACACACCGGAGCGCATCAAAACTGCATTGAAACGCGCAAAAAAATGCAGAAATGCATCCAGAACGCATCTGCGTTTTTTTATAGTGTGAACCCTGAGAGTAAGCAGATGTCAGGCATGATAAGATCCTGTATTTTGTGTAAATAACATTTTATTTCCAATATACCATACGTTTTCTTGGGAGCTAATGAAATAAATCACTTGGCTGTCCTGCATATCTGTGACATGTTTTCTTGTCCAATCTAGGATCTCCCCAATGCAATGAATGCTGCAGAAATCACAGACAAATTGGGCCTGCATTCCCTGCGTCAGAGGAATTGGTACATTCAGGCAACCTGCGCGACCAGCGGGGATGGGCTGTATGAGGGCTTGGACTGGCTGTCCAACCAGCTGAAGAACAAGAACTGATCCCTTTCACAGTGATACCTTACCCTCTCTCCACCCCTCTTCCACCCAACTCCCATCCTGTTCAAAATCTTGGCAGAGCTGGCCAGCGCCTCTGCTGCCTCGCAGGCAGGCATGTCATTTCTACGCACATCCGTGTTTATAAATGTGTGTGTTTGCACGCCTGTGCGAGTGGGAGCAGCAATCTCACACTGTGCCTTATACGTGCTTAGCAGTATTAACCCCTTCTGAACACAACACTACCCACCACTTCCAACAGCCTGTGTACAGCTTACCCCCTAACTCCATTCTCCAACCAGTCAATAAGTAGTGACTAAGTGGGCTACTGGGCAACACTATATGCTGGTGTGGGCCAAGTCGCCTTCGTCATCATATTGAAACACATTAAAGAACTCCAGAAAGATCCAGTACGGATTCTGTGATCCTGATCCATAGAGGTCCACCTGCACTGAGTCTGTCTGGAAGAAAGTCTGGCATCTTTGGGTCTAGTATACTTTAGAGCAGGGGTGGTCAACTGTGGCCCTCCAGCTGTTGTAGAACTACAAGTCCCATGAGGCATTGCAAAACTGACAGTTACAAGCATGACTCCCAAAGGCAGAGGCATGATGGGACTTGTAGTTCACCAACAGCTGGAGGGCCACAGTTGCCCACCCCTGCTTTAGAGACATAGCAAGCAGAATATCTTTCAGATTTGAATTGTGAAGCTGCTGATCTATAGATCAGGGAAGCAGTGGTTAAGGCCAACTAAAGCGGCTTCATCCTCGTTCCCAAAATGGAACATTGTGGAGTTCTTTTTTAAAACAGTGAGTTGCTGGCTTTAATAAAGAACGTTTGGACCTTTATGAATTATCGGTCTGATATAAAGATAGGGGTGATACAGACAGGTGTTTCAGATCCTCTTGGAAATTAGGCCTTTTTAGTGTACTTTCCCATAATGGGAAATATGTATTGGAATTGGATCTTTTTAATCTGATTCAAAAATGAAAGTAATCCATATATGCCCTGCCTTGCCATTTAAAACATTTTTTTGTCTAGTAGCTAAACAGTGACGGTAGTTCATAAGATAATACTGCATGCAGAAATAAGATAGGCGTTTAGGGTTACTTCGTGACTATGAATCATTGTAGTTTTCTCATAATAGGACATCTGCAAGTAAATGAAAGGACAGTATCTATGAATGTTCTACTTTGTATTTCTAATCAGCAGGGGCTCTGGGTCTCATCGTAAGCAAAAAGGGGCTTAATAGCATGTGTTGGCATAACTTTGTGGATTGGGTATAATGTATATTGAAACATATGGTTTTTTTTCATTCGATTCCATAACTTATTTGCACTCCCTGGACTGGTATATGTACTGCAGGTAAAATGAGATGGATTCATGAAGGCGAACTGTTACCATGATAGACTAATTAGATTGTGGTGATCACATGTTTTATTTTGCCTGGACAGAGCTGCATTTTTATGTTTTGTTTTTTTTTTTTTTTTGCATTTCCATGCACATTAAAGATGACCTCTGGGCACAAAATATATTTCACAAAGAATTTAAATCTACTTTGTGTGCACCAAATACCTTTGCATACTCATATATTATCTTACAGAAATGACATCACTGTGCTGCTGCATGCAACCTGAGCAGAGTTGTGGGAGAGGCCCAGAAGGCCCACCCACTACAGGCTACCTGCAGAAAACTACCAGAGGGGGCGGATACAAGACCAGTCACTCCGCATAAGGAGAGAGAGCAACGACCGGTCTGCAATAGAGGAAAGTCCAAGAGTTGTTTCGTGCTGGATTATTGCACACATTTCAAGGAGTACACAAAGCACATCACAGTTCAAGTACAAACACGTTTCTTAATATCTTTGCTTAACCAAGATTTCTGCTTTAATATGTGGTCACCAGCTGATCAGGTCTAATACTTCCGCTGTATAGTGTCCATGTGACCTGTAAAAAGCCACATTGCAGTCATAGGATGTGCAGAGGGGATGTTTGACTAGAATGTAATTCACAAACCTATGAACAGTTCTTTGTGAGATGACATGCGCTGCGGGTTCATCTATATTATTTTTTTTTTTTTTTTTTTTTTACCTGAATACCTCGGCCTATTTTCAACACTGCACACCTGTTGCAGCTATTGCAATTTTTTATTTATTGGCAGATATCTGAACAGAATGTGCCCCTCTTAGTCATACACTCATGTGACATCACCAGTCTTTGCATACTCTATTATCTTTTAGAAATGTCATCATCCCTGTGCTGCTGCATGTAACCTGCGCAAACAGCAGAGTTGTGGAAGAGGCCCAGAAAGCCCACCCACAACAGGCTACCTGCAGAAAACTACCGTAGGGGGGCGGATACAAGACCAGTCACTCCGCACAAGGAAAGAGCAGCAACGACCGGTCTGCAATAGAGGAAACTCCTGCAGAAAGGGAAAGTCCAGGAGTTGTTTCATGCTGGATTATTGCACACATTTCAAGGAAGGACACAAAGCATATCACATTTCAACTACACACACGTTTCTTAATATAATATTTACTTAATCAAGATTTCTGCTTTAATATGTGGTCACCAGCTGATCAGGTCTAGTTATATATTTCTGCTGTATAATGTCCATGTGACCTGTAAAAACCCACATTGCAGTCATAGGATGTGCGGAGGGGACGTTTGCTGCGAAAGTAATTCACAAACCTATGAACATTTCCTTGTGAGATGACATGCGCTGCGGGTTTATATATATATATATATATATATATATATATATATATATATATATATATATATATATATATATATATATAAATAATAATTTTGGGGTTTTTTTTTTTTATTTTTTTTCTGAATACCTCGGCTTATCTTCAGCACGGCACATCTGTTGCAGCTATTGCAATTTTTATTTATTGGCAGATATCTGAACAGAATGTGCCCCTCTTAGTCATGCATGTGACATCACCAGTCTGGTTTTTGGAGGCTCCTGAGATGTTTGCTCCCACTCTGAAGCACATGTTTTGGTATGGCTTATTCCATACTGGGAAGGAAGTCTGTACTGTAACCATACATAATCTAATTTACTAACTTCATCCGTATATTAAACCCAAGTCATCCGTGTTGCGGTCCCCAGCCCCCTTTTGGCTTTCTCATCCTATGGGCCAATGCTTGATCATGTAACAATGAAGAAAGAGTGGAAGGGGAGGGGGGGTGTACAGGTGAAAGGGAACACTTCTAACAGAAGGTTGTCTAGTTTTGCAGACAACGCAGGTAATTTTGGTTCAAACTGGCAGAACGCACGGCCTGGGCCAAGTCCATTAGCCGTGCTTGTGGACCGTAGTGCATCCTGCTGTACATAAGCGCTCAGGTCTCGAGGACATTGAACACTGCATAGTCTGGATGTATTACGAATGTAGGCGGATTCATGAAAATATATAAATATATAATTTTGTAAATCTTTGACAGTTCACTGAAGTATTAAAATGAAATGGCTTTGTTAAAAAAAAAAACAAAAAAAAAAGTTTAAATATATTTAATCAGGGAAGTAGTGATTTCAATTCCTAAAAGTGGGTGGGTGGGGGTATAGTCCAGGTTTGTGTATGCAAAAACACAACTACAGGTTGTAAAGAGTTAATAAATTCCTATATTTTCCAGCTTTCTGTACTCTTGTTTAACAAGGTCTGAACACCAGCAAATGCAAAGGTGAAAGTTGATGGGTGCTTTGGGTGTTTTCTGTAGAGATGTGTGGGGAAGCAGGACAGCCGGGTGATTAGGCCCTGATGGATGCAGCTGTTTCTAACTTTGCGTCAAATTCTTGTTTCCAGGGCAGTTATGTCTAACCTTTTGACTGCCTTGGATCTGGTGTGGCAGATGAGTTGGGGAACAACGGTCCCCTTCAGAGCCTAAATACATAGGTGTTTGCATTGTGAAAACTTCCCTTTAGCTGCAGTGTTCTGAAATCAATGCTGTGTGTGGGGGGTGAAGTTAATCTAAATCATCCTTGATGTAATAATTTATATTTGTTTGGCATGTTTTTTTGTTTTTTTTTTTTTAGTTTGTGTGAAGTTTTGCTGCTTCTTGGTCTTTTTTTTTCCCATGGTGCCTTTTTGAGATACAGAAATCCTTACAGTACAGTAGGTGGTCTATGTACAACATCAGTGGCCTGGGACCTATTGTCGTTGGTGGCTGTGGTTAGACAAATTGGGGGTTATTTACTAAAGCTGGAGAGTTCTGCATAGAGACCAATCGGCTTCTAAACGCAGCTTGTTTAATTAAGCCTTGTCAAAACCTGGAAGCTGATTGGTTTCTATGCAGAAGTGAGTCTGATTTTTCACTCTCCAGCTTTAAACCTCACTGCGTCCACCTTGACTAGGAGATGGCATTTTCTATTTAGTCCAGTTGACCATGGAAGGTTGAGGAAAGTAGATAAGAGGATAGTGTCATAGCCCGCGATTGGATGGAGACAGATCATTTAATAGGGCAACTGCTGCCCTGCACTGGGTATGAAGCATGAGAATATTTGAGACTAGTATGCATTCCTTTAAGCACATCCTTACCCAATCAGGAAAAAGCAACAAGTTCTAAAGTGGAAGTCCAGGGTATTCCTAAGTGTAAACCTGCTCCCACCCCCCATTCTAACTACCCTGTAGAACATGGGTGTCACACTGGTGGCCCTCCAGCTGTTGCCAAACTACAAGTCCCATGAGGCATTGCAACATTGGCAGTTACAAGATTGACTCCCAAAGGCAGAAGCATGATGGGACTGCCAGTTTGACACCCATGCTGTAGAAGGAAGTTTCTTATACTTGCCTATTCTGAGAGCTGGTCCAGTCACTTGATCTCCCCTTGAGCCAGCTTCTGGGGAGAGGAGATGTAGCAGCCAACGGCTGAAATGCCTCTATGAGGTCACCCATAGACTTACTATGTGGCATTCTTTGTTGGCTGTCTCTCCTCTCCCCTGAAGATGCTGGAGATGATCACATGACACTGGGAGATGATCACATGACTGGAGCGCCCTCAGGA